GATATTAAGAGGGTGATCGAAGAGTTTTTTTTATGTTCTTCTGTGACGGATCTTGCAGAATATAGCTCCAATCGCGTAGACAGTTTACACAAGCTTGTCATTCATGTCGTCCCCGCCACGTAATGAATGGGATGTTACTCGTAGATTCAAGATAGACACTACCAAACCGGTATAGAATAGAATACAATACAATCATTTTTATTCAATACGTACTACAGGAACACTTAAGCTTTACGCAAGTTACCCAGGGGGACTAATAAAATTAATTTAAAATATATCATTTTATACATTTAATAGGATTAACTCTCTCCTTTTTGTCTTTCTCTTCTTAAAATATTCCGTCACATAATACATAACATAACCATCTCATGTTATAAGCCGAATTCAGCGTTGCCTTTTTGTTCTGGGCACGATTTAAATTAGTTGTCTCCAACTTTGACCTCATTATGTAGTGAACCTCTAACCTCTATCGACAAAAGCGGATATAAGTCTGATTACAATCCGGGCGTAAAACGAAAGTAATGGCCATTCCCATTTTCCAATTCAGCTTTCTGATCAAGCGAATCCCTAATCATTTCATTTTCGAACCTGTTGGCATGGCGAATTTATCTGCATGTAATTTTATTTAAATAGTTGTACCTGTATAATAATTATAAATTTGTATCTTATCTCTCATATTTCTTTTTGCCTCTTTTTTATTATACAGACATATTTATACATTTTTGGCGTAGTATAAAGTGTTATTTATCTATCCGTTTGTTTATCTACTTTGTTAGTCCTTATTAAAATTGTATGACATTAAAAGTTACTCGTTTATTTTTGTTTTGCGTATGGATAGCGTTATTTTTTATTTGCAGTTGTTAGTCTGTTACTCTCAGTTTGGAGTTACTAATTAAGAGTTTTTTTTAAAACGAACTTCTGTGATTTCCAGATTAAAACACTTTTGAGAATAATCAATCAAATATTGTATAAAAAATAAGTATTTTAGGGTAGATATGGAATTGTAATATATAAAACTATAGCAGTAGTTAGTACTTAACAAAATTACTAGGTAGCAGGATTCTGCCTAATACTCCGTTTTAATAGGCACGTATCTTTTAACCTATTTCTGTCGCTAAACAACAGTGTTTGTACTCCTGTGTCCCAGTCCGAAGAATGTAGAGAGCCAGTACATAGTCTTAAATGCCTTCCATCGTTTTATTTTGAGGTGACTACACCACTTCTTCCTTCTATGTTTGAAGTTGGTTGCGGGTGTCCATGGGTCGCAGCAGTGACTACAGTTTTATAAAGCTATGTTAAGTACAATAGTAGTTACTATATTTATTACGTGACCGTAGTAAATAGTAAATATCTATTTTAGATATTTATCTTAAAAAAGAAAGAAAAAACGAAGAAAGAACATATTTTATTTCTGGTTCTCTACACTCACCATTCGAAACTAGTAATCAGTATCAGTGTAGTACAAGTTACTCGAATCCACCGATTCAGTAATTTATTCTTGGGGAGATGTATATGTTTTTACAACCATTCTCAAAAATGTACCAAATTTGACCTGCGGAAAGTTCAAACATTTTATCAGTTTAACTAAGTTTGTATAAAAAAGATTTGTATATAAAGCCTTGTAGTGGCGGCTGAGACTATTCACTACCCGATATCTTCCCGTGGGGGTCGTAAGAGGCGACAAAGGGAGACAGACAAGAGATGAGCAGCAGAATATTCATGATAATAGCAATTATACAATAACAAACTATGGTTGTTAACGAGCTCGGCGAGAGTGGCAAATATGGCGAACATTCCCCCAAGAGCAACGACACAAAAGTACGAACGCCAGACTCCGGTAGCTTCGCTATTCCTGGTTACGGTGGCAACCATGATAATGACGGGGCGGGGGTGATAAGAATCTCCGGTGGAGGTTCGGTTACCACCTAAGACGACTCGACCTGGCAACATATTATAACGCACGCACCCTGAGGACTGACCAAGTACCAAGTAGACTGTCGGTGTTAACTTTATATAATTTTGTTCGAAGGACACTTACAGGTAAGTTACTTTGAACAAATAATTATTCTACAAAATTAGAATTTCATTTAACCGCCGAAGAATAAAGTTTTGTAGAAACTTAAATGGATTTAACCATATATGTTATTAATAATTACTTTGTAAAACCTACACTCCATGCAAAAAAACAATATTGAGTTAAGAATATAGGGTAAATTCTAACGAATGAGTGAATACGAAGGAAACCCTAAACAAAAATGCGAAGGCTTCTAATATTTAAACTTCATATGAGAATATTTATAAACTTTTCACTTTAATAATTCACATTTGGTGCGGAATTTTAATGTTCACTTGCATTGTTCTTGTTTAAACTTTTTATAGGGACAAAAAGCGGGTGACATCTTAAGCAGCGTCCGTAAAGACTGGTGTTTTTTAAAGAACCATTAAATTGAATATGTCTCTTTTTATTAGTTTTTAAATGTTTGCGACAGCTACCCAATTACTTTAGTACATATCGTGATTTAGATTTCGTTGTAACGTTTAAATTTTTTATAGAATAAATGTGACAAAGAGCACACACTCCACCTGATGGTAAGTAGATGGTGTGACCTATAGATACATTTCTACATTTATCCTCGATTACGAATCAAAATGCGGATAAGTTGTTATCCTCAACGACTAAGATGGAATGCCTCTTTACAATTAAAAAGAGTCTCTGGTTCTCTACACCCACCATACGAAACGTAGCAGCATTATTTTGATATTTTACGCTGGTATTTTGTGAGATCGATGTCCTTACTTGGTCAAGCCAACTTATTCGTAAAACAAAAATGTTTATATAAAAGTCATAATTAAGTCCTCCACAGTAAAACCAGAACCCAACAGGAATAATTACTGATGTCATAATGAGTTGGCTACAAAGCTCAAAGAACTGACTACTGATGGGAAACAAAGATTCTCGAGTGGCCGCCTTTTCCCGGTAAGTGAACTATAGTGCAGTCTTAAACTGGAGGAGTGAAGACCTGGTTGAATATGTATATACGAAGACTATAGACGCAGGTGGCTCGTGACCGTGTTTTGTGGCATTCCTTGGAAGATACCTGTATTCAGTAGTGGTCTTATGGAAGGTGTTAATAATATTATGATCATTTGAATTGTTTTTATTATTTACTCTACTTACGGTATCACTAACACTTTCACCCGGGAGACTTCAAATGTTCTCAAAATTACTTCTTAACAATGCCGGTTTATTTTTGACGTTTTCCGTCATAATTAAAACAAAAACAAATCTGCATGTAAATTTCAAATAACAATTTCATCGGTGCCAACAGTGGTCAAGCTCGGGTTGTACAAGAATGAAATTACACAGTTCTAAATGTTAATGTCTAAATGTAAATAATTTATAGCGAGTTACAATTTCTTATTAATATATAATCTTTTTTATATTTTTTGTTATAGCTTTAAATTTCAATACTTTATACTACAACAAAAATTGGAACTTTCAGCTTAAGAAAGAAAATTGTAAAAGTTTATATCCTCATTATTCAATATGCATGAAGTGCAGAGTCCATGAATACAAATAGATGAAATAAAATACTGTCGTCTCAATACGCGTCGATATACGAGTACGATAAGCCAATCCTGAGGACCGTAATATCAAAGTAAGCGGAGACATGTTGTATACAAATTCAGTTTCAACGATTACCGAAACGAAACTACACAGTTTATTACGTTTAATATTTTTAATTTTATTGCGCAGTACAACAAATTAAAAAGATAAATCAAATTTTTGGACTAAATACAGCCTTGATCTTGTCGGCATTTCTTTCAATCAATTCGTAAAGTTTCATCACAATCAGCTCTGCCATTCCGTAGATTAGCCTGAACATACATACATATAGACAGACAGACTCGCCTATGTTCAGCATTGGACTATTTCCACGTGAATGAATGGTATTTAAAATATTATTATTATTATTATTATTTTAAAAGTCATTTTATACTAGTGTATTAAGGAGGAGATTAGACAAGTGAGTGTTTCCGGGTTAGCGGTGCGATGGCGGTGTAAGAGAAAACATCACTCTGTACCGAGCGTGTAGTAAGAGGCGATGGGAAATGCCAAACAAATCTGATAGCTTCCGACAAATAGCAGTATTCCATCTTGTATAACGTCTGACAGAATTCCCAGACCAGTGAAAAGAAACAAAATCAAATATGCCGTCTAATGACGGCTCCTTTGTGCAGTGGCTTAACAATGAGTTGCAACGTTGCGAACCGCGGGCTTAAATCCCGCACGGAACTAGTATTTGTATGGCCTACAAATAATTGTACAACTAATGTATATAACCTGCCTCCACAATACAGGAGAAAATCCTAGTGGAGGGGGGGGGTAACGTTAACAAAAAATATGTAAAGCGTCTCGTATTGCATACTTAACCCTTAAAGTGACTTTGTATAGCAGGGTATACATCTGACAATAAAAAAATCTTACGAAGTTTCTACACGTTTTATTTGCATTATTTCATTACAAGACATATTTCTGAACGTTACTTTTTACGTCAACATTACACTAAATAGCTAATCTGTGGTAAATTTGAATCAGTTGTGAAAAATAACGAACAGACCGCGGTCAGAAATTATTGTCAAGGTGAGTTTTACCTATTTTCGTGATTTTATTACTTATTATGGGTATGTAATGCATAAATCGAAAAGGTGAAGAGTTATTCCAACCATTGTGTAACTTAAATGGCCTGGATGTTGTCATATTTGGATTATTTTAACTTGTTTACATCCGTGTATGGTATACTATACAGTGCTACAATCACTACTATTTGCCATTATATTTATTTGTATAGTATACTATACATTGCTACTAACATGGTACTAACAAATTTTAGTTGATTTGGTATGATACGAGTTCCGCATAGTGCATAAATAACTTTTTGGCTTTTATCTGGGTGATGGTTGAACTGCATGTTTGTTTCGTTTTGTTTTAGAATATAATGAACGGAAGAGCGAGACGCATATTGTCTTTGGTTCCAGCACGAAATGCTGGTTCTGATGTTAGTGATGGATCCAGTAGTGATGATGAAGTCAGAGATGTCGAGAGTTCACCAGCGCCGTCTCTGGATTCATCATTTGAAAAGCTCGACATTCTCGGCAGCCCCACTTCATCGCCCAATCATCCGAAGCAAGAGGTGGAATCACGTGCAGAAGATCTTTCTGATGTGGATTCAGAGACTTTTCAAGTTTCCCTAACGCCAATCCTGAACGCCGTGTTCCCTAGCCCTACGCAATGCAATTACGACGCAATACCTTTAATTTCTTCTGTATCATCTATAACGTCTGTTGAACCATCTACTCCCATAGCGGATGTCACACCTTTAGTGACACGTGGGCAAAGGAAACGTACTGGGCCTTCTGTTTCTGTTAATAAAGTGAAAAGGCGGTGTATCAAAAAACTAAGCTTACGTTTCCGTTGGAAGAAAGTGTCATTTCAACACAGAGCTAACATACCTAATAATACGTTTGAAGATGAAGTTCCAGTTGATTGGTCTCCTTTGGACTATTTTTTTCGATTTTTCCCCAGAGATTTGGTGAGCCATATAACGACGAATACCAATTTGTACAGCGTTCAAGAAACTGGAAAGTCAATCAAAGTTGCGGAAGAGGAATTATTAGATTTTTTGGCTATTAATATTCTTATGGGTATAGTAATTCTACCGTCATATAAAGACTATTGGAAATCGTCGTTTAGGTACGGAAAAATCGCTGATGTAATGCCCTTGAGGCGTTTCCAACAATTAAGAAGATTTGTACATTTTACTGACAATACTCAAGCTGATACTTCAGATAGGTATTACAAACTACGACCCCTAATTGAATGCATTCGGTTACAGTGTTTATCCGTTGAGGAAGAAAATGCTTTCAGTATTGATGAGATGGTCATACCCTACAAAGGTAAAAAAGCCGGCAGCCGTCGCCAGTATAACCCAAATAAGCCAAGTAAGTGGGGCTTTAAAAATCTGGTTAGAGCCGGTGTGTCCGGTATCATCTACGATTTTCTGCTGTATGCTGGCGATGATACGTTTACAGGTGTGCAATTTACAAATGAAGAAGAGTCTTTGGGCGTTGGAGGTAAAATAGTTTTGGCATTATGCAAATCTATAAAAAAAGGCATGTAGTGTCGTATATTTTGATAACTATTTTACATCTTTAGAATTAGTATATATTTTACGAGAAAATTACGGAATATTTAGTTTGGGGACTATTAGAAAAAATAGGTTGAAAGATGCGGAATCTAAAATGATTAATGATAAATCGCTACAAAAAAACGGAAGAGGGGCGTTTACTCAAGTGGTGTGCAACGACAATAAATTGAGTGTGGTGAAGTGGTTCGATAATAAGCATGTTAGGCTTGTAAGTTCCTATGTTGACGCTTTTCCTCTTGAGAATATCAAACGTTTCAGCAAGGAGTCTAAAGGACGCGTAGACATACAGTGTCCTCAAATCGTCAAGCATTATAACCGCCATATGGGAGGTGTGGATTTGGCGGATATGTTAATAGCATTATATCGCACTGGTATAAAATCTCACAGATGGTATATGAACATTTTTTCTCAGTTGTTGGACATTTGCATAAACAATGCATGGCTGTTACGTCGTAGACACGACAACCAAATAAATAAAAAGAGGAAGCAAGATCGCCTAAAAGACTTTCGTTACGAAATTTATGCCGGACTTCTGAAACGTAATAGAATTGTGCCCGTAAAAGACGTTTTGTCTGTACCCGAAAAAAGTAAGATTAAGAAACCGATGGCCGAGAGGCCTCTTGACGATGTGCGGTATGACAAATTTGATCATTGGCCCCAGTTAACCAGTTATCAACGCTGTAAATATTGTAGAGGAGGTCAAGCTAGTACAATGTGCACAAAATGCAATGTACATCTATGCTATGTTAAGGATAGAAACTGTTTCTTGGCTTACCACATGAAGCTGTAATAAAATATAATGTATAGTATGCTATACATTGATAATCGCAGATCATTCTCAACGGGTGTGACAATGTATAGTATATTATACATAGGTTTTTCCAAAAAGTAAAGCCTCTAGATTTTTTTGGTTATTTTTTTAACTTTGTTTAAACGCCTAATAAACCATTAAAACTTGTTTTAGTTGTTTTCATTTGCTAAAAGTATCGTGCGACTTTAAGGGTTAATGGAGACATTCTTGCAAATCATTACCAAAACGATTATCACACAAATATTTTTCCTGTTTTTGGTAAGAAACTTCTAAACTCATGGATAACCGGCTTATGTTATCTCCCATCGACTAAACCTATTGTTGTTCTACCATCGTTAACCCTTAACTTACTTTTGATCGATCATAATTCAACATTACTTCGATATTTTCTCACACTGTATTCCTCGGTCACACCGAACACTACAACGCAAGTGCACGCGTGTCTAGTTTTGAAATTACGTTTTCGGAATTACGTACGCCCTCGGGTCAGATTTGACCCATGTATACCTTAAGTGTAACTTTTTGTGCCGGAGGCGAAATTTTAAAAGGGCGAAAAATGAAGTACAACGAATACTGCGGTGGCTTGATGAGTATAATAGTGACTCGGACTATGGCGACAAGTGCTTCGAACATATTGATTACGTCTCAGTGTCTGAACTAAGTGAATTTAAGGATAACTCGGAGGAGTCATCAAGTTTCGACACTGAGAGAAGTTTTGCTGAGATTGTTCCAAAAAAATAACGAGCTCATGGTAAACCATTACCATCACTACTATCACCATCACGATCACGTGGTTCATCCAGAGGTTACTGGTACGGACGTAATCAGTTTAAATAGTCGAAGACGCCTGCATATTCCTTAAGAAATCTACGTGAAAACTTTGTTACCAAATTACCTGGTTTGATAGAGGAAGCACGTCGAAACAAGCCGACATCTCAACTGCAGGCAGCAATCCTGTTTACTGACGAACTATCTGGAAATATCCTAAAATTTATCAACGAGAAAATAACATACCTGTCCTCGATCTATGAATATACATTGTACATGGGTAGTCAGATTTGTACGTCCTTAGAAAAAGGAAGAATAAAACTAACATTATTTGCTCAAAATGTAGTATATATGTATGTATAATCCACTTTATTATGATTGCAGCATGTCAAAATTTTATGTAACTTTATGTTTTTTACTTATTTAGTAAATATTAATTTCTAACGTAAGAATATTGCACTTTTTTGTCGGAAAATTGACAACAAATGATGATTGTTATTTTTTTTGTTTTTGTTTATAATAAGAAAAATAAAGTGATTTAGTTTTCCAGAAGTCATAATTTAAGTTTTGTAGAGGAATTGTTTTGAGTTTAAAAGATTTAGTTAGGAAAAAAAATAAATTAAATTGTCTCTTTCTTTAACATTAAAAGTGTAACTTTTTGAACATTTGCGTTTTATTGTGTGATTAACATTATAATTTAATAATTTGAAACTTAATGTATATAAATAATAAGATAAATAAGTGTAAATAAGAAAAATGTTTTATAAAAATTACCACATACAATTTATACACTACATCAAATTATTTAAAAAGGTAAGGTTAGAAATATTATACCAGTTAAAGGTTATATGCAGTCAAGGTCACAGGTAAGTAAGGCCACATATAGTAGGGCTTTTGCGCATATCCATACAAACGCCAATCATCTGCAAGTGGCTTCTTCTTTTAAAGACAACTTCTTCAACTTTACCATATTCCTGTAACGAAGCGCAACGAACCATAAGGCATTGCTTTCTGTATGCCTGTTGGGCCAGTTTAGTTGGTCCCCCGTATTTCACAGTAGATGAGCAAGTTTACATGAAATCTGCCATGGTGAAATAAGTTAGAGAGGGATTGCGCATAGTATGGAAAGTGATTTTTTTTAATTCGTTTATTTGCTATTTTTTCAATTAAACAAGTGGCTTTAGTGGCTTATGATGTTGATTTATTAAGTCCGCATGGATGTATAAACACGATAACTTAAAAATATCAATTGTTCAAATCAATCTATTTTTTAATCCCTTCCTCTATCATGTGGGAAGCCTTGGAATGTAAATTGCTGTTTAATTTTGGTATTGTTTTGATATAAATAATTATTTTTGGCTCAGAAATTCCGAAATTTTCGATGTTTGAGCAGCCTTGTATTAATATATTGTACTAAATACAGATGCATTTTGACTCACTCCGGGCTCGGCCGCTATCTTGAATGATTATCGAATGAGAATGAGTGATAAAAATATCGATTGCTGTAGAAATACAAAATGTTCCATTACATTACATACTTGACCATGGTAAGATTTTATGTAGGGTTTATATATAAATATACTTATACGTCTTCGATTTTATGGGGTGACCTGAAGGTGTACTTCGGTATCTGCTACTGAAAAAAAAATTAACAAATCAGATATAAAGATGAGATTAGTTTTTATTTATATTATATACATTTTTATATATTATATTATAATTCCTGAGTACAAATACCTAAATATTAAAGTAATATTATATTTGATTTCTGGTCATTTTAAGATCATTTTGTTAAACGTTTTTTCAATTAACAATAATAAAAATAAATTGAATTTACCAATAAAAAATTTTGTAAAAATATTTGATTGAGAACTTTTTTCTACAATTTTTCCACGATCATACTCGTATGAGTATTATGACATGACATGACATGGATTTTCCTAACCTTCTTATTTATGTTTGACATAAAATTATCGGCAAATTAGAAGTAATAGTAATAAGGTTATTTGTGAAAACTTATGAGTATATTTAAATACTTTCAAAATTGAGGAGCGCTGAAACCATGCACCTTTTGATTTCCCAAAACTTTTGTTTTTACTAACTATATTCTACTTATTCTATTAATTTGTATTTTATGCAGCTTATGTCTTTATTACTTATTTATTACATATAAGAGGGAATTGTATACGAAGGGATTGTATACACTTGCCACAGTTTCTAAAATCGTCCAGAGTTGACTGGTAGAGAATATCATAAAGGCATTAAGCCCGCCTTTTATATTCCTTATTATGAGGTGTATAATAAAGAGAAAATAAATAAATAAAAAATACGAAACACAGTAACATCACGCTTCTATGTTACGCGAGTATTCTGTGATAGCGTGATTCTACTCCATTGAGTCGACTCATTAGTTATGGTAATAAGTTTTACGTTGGAGTTAACTACCGAATTATGTATCCCGATGTGTAGCGCATTTATTATCTTAAATCTTTAAAAATAAAAACACCTAGCACATAACAACCTCTTTTCAGCACGTACGTATCACGCTAGCATTTCCGCCCATCTGATCAGTGTTACAAAATAAGGTGCGGTCATCATTTAGTAGAATGTGGGCGAGGCACGGGCAGACTCGTCTCTTATACTTATCAGATGATACACCTAATGAAGCAAAGTTTTGTTTTATCGTAGGAAGGTAACCTTTCATGTCAATTTCCTTTGTTGTTATACTTCAAATATATGCAAGTTGTAAAATTTTATTATCTAAGACTGCTGACAAAAATAGTGTGTTTTAACAAGCTTAAAATATCAGCTCCTCTCCTCTCCTGCTTGTGTGGTCTATCACAGTGACTACTAACCATATAACACTAAGAAACACACCATCACTAAAATGTACTTAAATAAATTTCATATAAATATTCTTATAATGAACCAAATTTATTATATTTCATTCTATTTCTTCTCTTTTACCGTCAATAATATGATATTACGAACACATATTTTCCAGCTTTTCCGATCTCCTTGGCATATTGAACGTCTACTATGGTTGAAGTGGTTAGCGAGTATGTTTAAATAGAACAAATTATCTGAATAGGTAATACCAATTTCAAGTGAGAGGTCAATCGACGTGTCCAACTCAGCTGAACAACGTTCGGAAGGTTATCACACATTTGTCGTTGCGTTGAACACTTGAAAATAAGATTGTAACAATCAGTACGTGTTGGGGATGTCGTATGGATCTGAAACGTAGCATTTCCCTACTGGCCGTATAAGGAAACTCAAGCTCGCCCAGCAACCTATGTGGAGGACTATATTTTCTGCATATTAAACTTCGTAATGGAGACAACCGCAGAAGAAACAGAGTAACTGACATAAAGCAACTGGTCAGTAAGCTGAAGTGACATTGGCCCGGCCATATTGCTCGAATAACCGACAACCAATAGGGAAGGAAGGTTCTCAATTGGCAGCATCGTACCGATAAGCCAAGTGCGGGGCGGATAAAGTGATAACCTTGTAAAAGATGCAGGAAATTAATGGATATAGGAGACAGGTCCTGGTGGAGGGGGCCTATGATTAGCAGTGGATTGATGATTGACTATAATGCCAATGTCAAAAATGAGGAATTTTATATTTTAAATGTCGACGCACGTTAAACATTTGACAGACTTATCAACGTTACAAAAGAAATTCCGATACGATATCTTTAAAGGTTTTTGCTTTAAGTAAATTCTTCTTACCACCACCACGCCACCACACAGTGTAGATGTCAAGCAATGGCTTATTGAAAAAGAAAGTAATTATTCGAAAAGCAGAATGCGTGTTACTTTTTATATTTTACGTGGTAGAGCTAAGCTGCAGCTATATTACAGTTGTAGCATCAATGGGTCGACTCGACCAAGGTAGGACCACGCTCTCACAGAATACCAGCGTAAAATAGCAGCATAATGCTGCTGTGTTTCGTATGTTTAGTATAGATAACCGGGGACCCGTTTTACTCGAATCGAGGCATTCCACTTATTCCTCAGGGGTGACAACGCATTTGCAATTTGATTCTTAATTGAGGATAAGTGTCGATGTCTATGGGCCACAGCATCCACTTACCATTAAGTGGACTGTGTACTCGTTTGTCACACAATGCTATGAAAAAATACTTACCTTATTGGCTATCAAGGTTACATTTAAGTTTCATACACGATCATTTATTAATAAAAAAAATTAAAGGGATATTGCTGGAAATTCGAAGTTTATTTTGGATCGTATCTGGAATATTTATGGTACAGATTGCACAATGATTCGCAATCTAGTTTGACTGTTGTTATGTTTTTGGTTTATTATTATATTTTTCGTAGTATCTATAAATAAATAAATTAAAGCTCCACAGCGCAGTGAATTAGCATTGAGTAGCATTGTTCAAATCCCACACGGAACAAATATGTGTATGGCCCAAATAATTGTTCCAGATCTGAATGTTTGTTCAATTTATGTTTATAAACTGCCTCCAAGATTCAGGAGAAAACGCTAGTGTGAAATAAGACAGCTTCATTTTTATACTACTACGTTATTGTTCCTTTATCAGAATGATATACAACTATTAATTGTGCTTTTTTATGTGGCACAGCCGCGCTGCAGCTATATTATTGCTCTTATAGTGTACCAGCGTCAAATAGGAGTTTAATGCTGCTGTATTTTGTATGGTGAGCGTAGAGAACCATAAACCTATTTTAATAAAAAACAGACATTCCATATAAATTATCAGGTGTGAAAACGCATCTATATTTTGATTATTAATCGAGGGTAGACGCCGTGGTCCACGGCAACCTATTACATTAGGTGGATTGTGTACTTGTTTGGTATCTCATTCTATCAGAAAAAAGCTTCTTAAAATACAGATAATTAGTTATTTTTGGTGTGGCTTTGATTTCGAACGGGCGGTGGGTAGACAGTTATATTATTGATTTTCCTTTGCATTAATTCAT